CACCTGGCGTCGGCGGACGTGGCGCGCCTAACGCTCGTCGAGGGCGATATGCTGGCGCTCGACCTGGCGCCGGCGAGCCTCGATGCTGTCGTCGGCATGTACTCCATCATCCACCTGCCGCGGGCCGAGCAGGTGCAGATGCTGGGCCAGATAGCAGCGTGGCTCAAGCCCGGCGGCTGGCTGCTCGTCAACTTTGGCACGATCGCAGTCGACGGCCTGCAGACAGACGACTGGCTCGGCGAGGGCGCCGGCTGGATGTACTGGAGCGGCTGGGGCCGGGAGGGGTCGCTGGAGAAGGTGAGGGAGGCCGGGTTCGAGGTTGTCGTGGAGGAGACAACAGAGGACGCCGAGGATGCCGATTTCCTGTGGGTTCTAGCCCAGAAGCGCGAGTCCTGAGGGTCTGCCGCTCAGGACTGTGTAGCAACTCACCTACCGAAGTTGTGATGGACATGACATGGGTAGTGCAACCTGGTTTCGTCAAAAGTCGACAGCTGCGAGGTCAGAATGTTGTGCATGCTGTGGACTGTGAGTTGTGCATAGCCCGCCACACGATACTCAACATGGTCCGCTTCAGCGTACAGTAAAGCAGCGATGGTTCTTGGGCAGTTGAAGTGATGGGTGTGCAGGGGCCGCGCGGGCTGTACCGCAGCCCGCCTCTGCCGTTACCTTTGCCTTTGCCTTTACCTTTGCCTTGTTATAGGTATGCCATGCCATGCCATGCCTGGCTTTGCTTTACTTTGCCTTGATTTCACCTTACCCCTCCGCCCGCCCAACTACTACGACCCCCGCGCTTGTATTCTTTTCCACCCCTGCAAAGACCACCCCCCGTCTTCCCCCAGCCGCCATGTGCGCGTCGACATGTCATGTTCGCATCAGGGTGCGTCGTTTTCCAGTCATGCGTACCCTATGCAACCACCGGAACGGTGATTCTACGTTGGGAGGTGTGTGTGAGATGTGATGTTTTCTCCGTTCCCTTTCTCTATGGCCGCGTGCCCGATCGTGCGTCGGCCGGGACATGGATTGCGTACGGACCAGGGGGGTCTCCATGGTCAGATGACAGACGGAACGGAGCGGACTTTCTCCTGCGCAACAGACCGAGGGAGAGAGATACGAAAATCTCGGCAGACGCCCACGGAGAATGTCGTCTGTCGCGCGAGGCCAAGCGGAATGAGGCCATGTTTGTTTGAGTGCGGCTCCGATGGGAGGTTTCATCCTGAGGGGGACCCCAGCTGAATGGCAGACTGGCGAGTGGAGGAGAAATTTTTAATCAGATGGTGAATCTGTCCGGCTCTGTATCTCGGCTGCCTCGCTCTTGTTTTTTTCTTTCTTGGTGGTGTAGCATATCGTAGTCGTATCCTTGATGTCTTTTCTTGCGACGCCCGCATGCCCCAAAATGGAAAGAAAGCGAGAGCGTTTGAGAAACGGCAGGTTCGGCTGTCTTGCCTTTCGATGATCGCCCTCTACCTGCATTTTTGCCTCGGCCCCTCCACCCCATGTCCGTTTCGCAATGTCGTGAGATGCAAAGCAAGATGCCGTGGAAGGTTAGAGGCGGTGGGAAGCAAAAAGCGAATCCGGACCCCCTTCACCCACGGCATCCGATTCGATTCGATGATTCGTTTTTTGCAGCCATGTACCTGCCCGTCACTGTACATCTCTCTGGCCGAGTCACGAGAGAGATGAAAGGGGGATCGGGCTTGGTCATGAGAAAGGCAGCGCCGGGTGGGGGTTGTTCGGCTCATTCTGCGTCAGTGGTGGCGACGCAGTCAAGATGAGGCAGATGGACCGAACAGTTCCAGCGCCGAAAAAACGCCTCCTCTGGGGATCATCGTGGTCAACAGGTGATGATGTCTGTTTGCGGCTATGCGCCCGCTCTTCAAGGGGGCGGTAAGCAGTAAGCGAGGTTTTTTGATGAAGGGGCGATCCATGGGGAACTGATGGGGGTGGATGATCGCGTACAGCAGACGTGCGTCTTGATCTTCAGGGGGAGGCAAAAGGCGGAATTCAAGGGGCCGCTGTCTTGTGTCACTTTGGGGTGATGGAGCCGAGTATGGGGGGGGGCGCTAGAGGGGCAGCCTGGAGGGCAGCCTGGAGGGCAGCCTGGAGGGCAGCCTCGAAGGCGAAGCCTGGAAGGAACACCTGGGGGCAGCCTAGAAGGGGAAGCCTGGAAGGAACACCTGGGGGCAGCCTAGAAGGGGAAGCCTGGAAGGAAAGCCTGAAAGGGATTGGAAGGAACGCCTGGACGTGGTTTCTTAACAGCGGGCGCGCCATGTTGAGAAAAAGGGCCCAGTGGGTCGGTCCAGTGCTGACTAAGGAAGACAGCTATCCCGTTGGTCACGTGCTTTCGCGACGACATGCAGTTTGATATCGCGATGTCCAATGACAGAATCTGGGTTGAACGACCACAATCGCCATCACATCGCGCCTGACATCCCTCACCTCACCGTTCAACATTGTTTCCATGAGAAATCACTGCTTGAAGAACGGCACGGCTCAAACTCAGGCATCGACATCATCAAAACCGCGGCCCTCAAGCAATCTTCTTCATCTCACGACACATGCCATGACGTGACGCCTCACCTCGCAACCCCGCCATCACACTAGATACGTCATCTTGCCCACGAGCATGCCCTCATTTGAGCTCCATGTTTGGGGCCCGGCCTTTGGCCTCCCCTCCATCGACGCAGAGTGTATCGCCGCCATTGCCTATCTGCACAAGGCTCTTCCCAGCGCAGAATGGACTCTCATTCCCAGTAGCGACCCCTCCGTCACTGCAGCTCGTAGGTTCATTTCCTGAAATAATCATGTTCAAACAATGCTAACCAAAAAAAAAAAAAAAAAAGATCGCCTCCCTGCTCTTCACTCAACGACCACAGACACATGGTCTTCCGGCTATGCTGCCATTGCCGCCCAGCTCGCCCAGACGCCCTACTCTCTAGACGCATCTCTCACGCCCGCGCAGGCGGCCGACGTGGCAGCTTACTCTTCTTATCTCACCACACGCCTGGCACCTCTCCTCGACATATCACTCCACGCCCTGCCGAGGAACTGGGCGCAGACGACCCGACCCGCCTACAGCACCATCCTGCCGTTCCCCTTAACCTGGACCCTGCCCACGGCCCTTCACGCCGCCGCTCTCGACCGTTCCGCCCCGTACCTCGCCGGCCTGACGCTGCCCGACGAAGACAGCGACGACAAGGAGACTACGAGCGCCCTCGACGCCGCTCTCAAGCACATCCCGGCGCCGCGCAAGAAATCCCCCCTTGAAGACCTCGCACCCACAGAAGCGGCCACCATCCGCCTGCACGCCCTCGCCCTCGACGCCCTCGCCCCGCTCAACGCCCTGCGCGCCGAGGGCGAGGAATCCCCAGGCACAAGACTCCGTCTCTCGCCTTCTTCTTCGTCTTCGGCCGACCCGGACACGCCCCCCACGTCCCTCGACTGCCTCGCCCTCGGCTACCTCTCCCTCATCCGCCGCGCCCCCGTCCCCCACGACTTCCTACGCAAGGCCCTCGAGGCCAACTTCCCGACCCTCGCCCGCATGACCGCCGACCTCGCCGAGAGGTGCCTCACCGCCCCGGGCCCCCTGCCATGGGCCCCCGACAGCGCCACGCCGACCGTCGCCCGGACCCTCTCGCGCTTCGCCGCCGACGTGCTGCGCGTCACGCCCGTCGCGGACCCGTACTTCGTCAGCGAGGCACGACGGGGCTCCAAGTAACACGATAACGATACCCCCTCGCGGGGGGCACGCCTTTAAGGAACCTCACTTCGAAAATAGGACTCGAGCATCTATGGAAATGCGAGGT